CAATAGCACAATTACATAAGAAAAATGAGAAGAACCCAACCACCACCACAGAGAAAACCCAAGAAGTTCCAAGGTATAGCCATATAGATAAAACGAGAAGCACCAAACCACCACCACATCAAAAAATCGAGAAGCCTAAAGGTACAATCACATAGCTAAAATACAAAGCACCAAACCACAACCACATAGAAAAAGAAGCCCTAAGGCACAATCACATAAGTAAAATGAGAAGCTACAAACCACCACCATAGAGGTTAATCAAGAAGCCTAAATGACACAACCTCATAAGTTAAATGAGAAGCACCAAACTCCGCCATAAAGAAAATTTGAAAAGCCCTAAGGCAAAATTACATAGGTAAAATGAGAAGCAAAACACCACCACCATAAAGAAAAACGTAAAATGACGTAAGGGCTTTAGAGACACATGTAGAGGGAAGCAGATATTAATACAACGGAGAAGAGAAGAGGATTGTGAATGTGCCTTAACATCAAATGCCCGTAGCGAAACTGATGGGAGGGAGAAGAGGGGAGGGGTAATATCGGGGATAAAATAAGAAAATCAATGAATTGATGAGGGGCACGATAGTAAATGCTTTTTTTGGCCGTGATTAGAACTGTAAAACCAAGGACGTGGCTGCCGTTCACAACTTCTCCATTTCCAAAATGGGAAAAGTTTGCTCCTAAATGGATGTCAATAGTTTTTCAAAATGAAAAGTACACATAAAGCGCTCCCAAATGCACCCTAAATCTATTAGTGTTGTATATTTTTTTAGTACCTTATTTTTTTACGTTTCAGTAACTCATTTTATGTTTACTATTGATTGCTCATTTTTTTAGTCACCTTTTTTGTTTACGTTTCAACACCTCATTTTATGTTTAGTATTGATTGCACATTGCATATTTTTAGAAATAAGATTTTGGGGCTTTTGTCGTCTAAGTTAAAGTAAAGATCAAACTTTAGAGTTTATGTAAATTGTGGGACAGAAGAAGATAAGAGTAGAGTTGAATTTTAAATAATAAGAAAACATAAATTTCAATGACATGAAATTTTGAAGAGTGTGAATATGATTAGCAACTTACTAGTATCTAATATATAACTTTATTAATTACTAATCGATACAATTTTTTATAAGTTCTTAATGCGAGAAATGAATATTTATAAAATTAATACGCCAAAAGTATAAAATTTTGTCTCTACTCACTTAACGGATTTAATTCATAGATAGTATTAGTCCAATTACAAATTTTAAGGAAATGTTAAATAGTAATTAAAAATTTAACTTAGGATGGAGTCAGTATTCAAAATCATTAAAAAATTTAATTATATATAATAATCTTTCTTGAAAATGATAAGAAAAAGAAAATTAAAAAACTAAAATAAATAAAAAAAATTCTTTCTTAAAATTTAAAAAAAAGTATTGAAGCTAGGAAGAGAAGCTCGAGGTTAAGCTCAAATTAAATATTGGTACTAATAAACCTTTAATAAGTCAAAGGATTAAGAGCTTCACTAACTTAACCTTAATTTTTTTTTCAACATGATAATAATATAATTAATATTGTTTAAGTAGCTAACCAATTTCATGAGCTAAGTATTAATTCTAACCTCACCAATAATTTGTGGAGAATTATATAGATCAACTATTAATGTGAGTTATATTAGGATATTAGAAAGTTGTTATGAGAATTCTGCCTAAAGTAGTGGTCTAAGAACTTTTATCCTTTGTTGAATTATTAAGAAAATATTGAAATTCTTGATTAAAATCAAACCTAAAATTTATTAAATTCCAATAAAATATTTTTAAATTACTTGAGGGTAAGTATTATTTAACTTTGTGAAGCATTTGAAGTGTATCAAATGTGCATGTTATTTCTAGTTTATTTTTATATTAGATTTTTATATTTTTTAGTGCAATTTTATGTTTTTTCATGATATTTGTGAATATATTTACAGTGCTCGGGTGTTTAGGCAACTTGAGGAGCAAATGAGCTGATACAGAGTTCCTAAGAGCTACCCGGACACATCCTCACCCAATCTGGGCACCCCCTTGCCACTCATGGGAGCCCATGCACCAATTTTTAGCTCCTATGCACCTAGATTCAAAGAACTTGGCACTCAGCTTTGGGCCCCCATATCCAAAGAACCTAACACATTCACCACTTTTAGGTGTCTGAGTGCATGTATGCACTTGATTATGACTTATACATCGCATTTAGCGTTGTTTTACAGTCAAAGTTTTAGATGAACTTAATATGAAGCACCAAAAAAAGAGAGGCGATTGGAGACGGCTGAAAGGGAGAAGCAAAACACAATAAAGGGTTTCATTGAATGCTCATGAGCAGTTAAAGCACTTCAAAGTAGGAATCCATATGAGTGATTTGAGTGTGAGCGAGTGTTCTCCTGAGTGCGATCAAGTATAGATGAGTGAGACTGAGCATATTGTATACTCAGAGAGAGAAATCATAGTGAATTCATTGCAAACTCTTGTAAATCAGGGAAGAACATAGTAAGATAATTCTAACTTGGTTAAATTTTGTTTTTATAATAGGATTTGTGTTACGTTCAACCATAATGAGTATGAATTAATGTTCACTCAACCTTGCATTAAATTATATGCAAATTGGTGCAGCATTTGCGTTGTGATTGTGTGTAATTTATGTATAAGTTGATAGTTTAACATTCTACTGATAATGTACTCATAAACTGACCACTTATATTGTTAAAATGAGTTGTGAGTTAGTACTACAGAAGCAGGTTAGTTAAAAAATTAGGTTAACCTACACTACTCTATAAGAATAGAAATATTGATGTCGAGTCGGTGCATTTGTATAGGAAAATTTGCAAACACCGGGTACTAACTGTAATATGAAACCCAATTTTTCTTAAGGGACTAGGAGAAACTATTGTTCCTAATTGTCAACATCATTGGAGTTACATGGATAGGGATAGATTGCTAGTTCCATATCAAGGAAGTTTTTCTCACTTGATTGAAATCTCAAAACTTAGTATGTTTCAACTCTTAATTAAGATTAGGTTAGTCACTTTTAAAAATTCACATAAATTTATTTTTTCAAACTCAGCTTAAGACCAACAGACTAGAACTTTTTTTAATTTGGAAATTAAACAAGTTCATTGTTGGATCGATATACAGACTCACATCCGTCAGGTGTATCACATTGTAGTCGGGTTATTGTCACTTTTCTAATGTTTTCTTGCATTCTACTAATATTATTTTATGTTGTTCAAGGGAAAAAAAAAAACTTGTAACATATAGCTGAATAGTTGAACCATTTCAACTGGGCTAGGTTTCGTGGTTTAATCTCTTTCAGATTTTCTACATAAAAACCTCTGGTGTCACATCCATCAGTTTTTCTTTTATCTGTGCGTGTGTATGTTAGATTTTTGTGCAATACTAAGATGTTGATATAACCTTATTGCCTTGAGATGCAATAGATTTGATTTTTTTTTCTCAATTAATTGAAAAAAATCAAATAAACAAAAAAAAAAGAAAATTTTGAAATTAAATAGAGAATTCATCAAATAAAATTGATATTATACATATAAGATATAAAATTATTGATATTTGTCTATAACCGAGCTTCAACAAACAACTAAATTTTGAATTGCTCATAATCAATCTCTTTAAATCAAATTAATTATGGTCGAGTTGATTTGATTTTATTGAAATTTTTTTTTGGTTTTATTTTTCAGTTTTCTAATTTTTAATTCCAACTACAATTAATTTAACCAATTAAAAAAAAAATTGATCCATCCAAATTTAATGAATTGAATGCTCACACGTACAAATGCGGACATATATGAATGTAGTAATATAAATTCAATAGAGCCAGGCAAAACATAATTTTTTTCTTTTATTACTTTTTATTTAACCTACAGGTTACCGTTGGAGCTGCCGGCAGCTAAAATGTAAACAGTGTGATTTTGTTGATTGACGAGTATGGCTTGGCCGGTTAAGTTTTTTAGTGTTCAAATATCATGTGCATTAATGAAATGAGAATGTTTTTTTCTTAATCAATTGTTACTCTCAATATAAGATTTGATTAAAAATTTTGACTAAAGTAATAATTATTTTATTATTAATCTAAAAGAAATTAATTTATTAGTTGAATTTATGATAAAAAAATAATAATATTAAGTATTCTGAACAAATTTATCACTCTTTTAGCCCAATGAATTGATTGAAACTTACTTAATATTATAACTTTTACATATGTTGAACATTGTAATTGGATCTATAAGAATGTAGCTTTTTTTTTTTAATAGAAGTTCTATTTTGTATTTCGGTTTGATTATTAGGTCAAAATTTATGTTAACGATATATATATGGCATGCAATAACTATTGGTTATTTATGTCAATGTCATTTACTACATCTTGAGCAACAAAACGGTGCTAATTTAACAAGTGCGAGAAATTATTACGTACGGAGAGCGTACGCAAGCTGATGTGCTGTTGTGATCGGAGAGCGCACGCAGCTCTACGTACGCTCTCCGTACGCAATAATTTTTCTAACAAGTGCACATAAATTTGACACCCACAATAGTAAATAACAATAACATATTTCAATAGGTATAGAAGCACCATAAATTTACTTTTTAAATAATGATTATTAATTTCTCATGAGAATGTTGCAACTTATTAAAACAAATATAGTGAGTGTGTCAATACAACAAATAAGTGAAGTATAGTGATAGTTTCTTAAAAATTGACAACACTAACAAGAAGTATTAGTTATCCCAAGTATAGCCGGTCAACAAAAGAGTGGGGTGAAAATATTAATTTTGATTACTCTTCAGAGGATGCATAAACATTATAGAAATACTATATTTTGTAAGATTTAGTAGAAGTTAAGTTCCAAATAAGGTGGAACTACAATTTATATTATATTATTGGTCAATAGGAATAATATAAGGAATAAGTAAATTTATCTAATAAAAGTGGATATATAGTTATTTGCATCATCATGACCATCCATATAGTTGTCCTTAGTGATTACATGCATCACATAAGAAATATCTCAGTGGGACATGAAGACTTACAATTATATATACTCTGCAGTCATGCGCTCGTTTCAATATAGTTCAAACCCTTAATGTGAGGTTAGAACTTATTCAGAACCCCATTTAAAATTTATTTTAAGAACATTTTTTAACAAAGAATTTTCTTGGTGTCTCCATCCTTTTTAAGAACCTGAGAAAATTGCTAGTGTTTGAAGAGATAATGAATGCATTAGAGCCTATTTATAAAAGGTGTACCAAAACTAACTTTTCCAATAGATGTTAAAAGGGATCACATAAGAGAACTTATTAAAGGCTTTAAAATGGAGTTGATCTCAAGACTATATTAAAGACTATTTAATCATGCTTTGAGACAGCCACAAGCAAAGATGATGAGAGGAGCAATATTCAAATACAATGATTTGTGAAAAACTCGAGGGAATGTCTCTCGTTTTTTGAATAAAAAGATAGGTTCACCTAAAATATTTTTTTGGGCATATTTATTTAATAAAAAAAATAAAAATAACACATCAAAACAATCACATTATAAGACATTAGATCTTGCATTATACCCAATAAAAAAACTCAAAAGAAAATCTAAGAAAAGATCATAAAATATAATGCTAGGTTGTTGAAATTTATATAGATATATTACTTTATCAAAATAGTAACAAATAATGAGTGAGCAAATAGTAACATTGATGACACAACCTTTTTGAAGTAATTTGGTTTCAAAATATGTTGGCATCAGAACTCATTAACTTTATATTTCGAGCAAGGCACCATTGAAAATTTAATATAATGAATGCTTCATTCTTTGAACTATGATAGCATGAAGTTCATGGCAAACATAGTTTTTATCAATGCTAGGCTAGAGGAATTTATACAGATATGTTTACTTTTTAAAAATAGTAACAAATAATGAGTGAGCAAATAGTAACATTGATGCTACCACCTTTTTGAAGTTATTTTGTTTCAAAATAAGTTGGCATCAGAATTCATTCACTTCATATTCCGAGCAAGACAACGTTGAAAAATTAGTAGAAAAGAATACTTCATTCTTTGAACTATGATAATATGAAGTACACAACAAACATAGTTTTTATCATTTTTCTATGGACGACAGATTCATTGCAATGAGTATCTGTGATAATGAAATTACAGAACTTATTTTCAAATTAGCATCTAACAAGCAGTTGGTTATTTATGTTAAAGTCATTCTGCTTCCTCTCGAGCAACAAAAAGAAGCTAATATAACAAGTTTGCACATAGATTCAGCATCCACAACAATAAATAACAGTGAAATATTTCAAATAGTTTAGAAGCACCATAAATTTTCTTTTATTTTTTAAATAATGATTTTTACATTCTCATGAGATTGCTGCAATTTATTAAACAAATGTATTGAGTGTGTAAATACAACAAGTGATAGGCTTGAAAATGAAGTTCCAGCTGATCCAAATTTTGAAAGCTAAGAAAAAAATTAGTGATAGTTTCATAGAAATTGATGACGCAAAGTATCAGTTATCCCAAGAATAGCCAATCAAATGATATCAACAAATGATTATATTCAATATTGACGGACAACAAAAAAAGCGAGACGAAAATATTAACTTAGATTATTCTTTAGAGCATGCTGCCTCATTTTAGAAATAATATATCCGGATGAGTTAGTGGAAGATAAGTTCCAAATAAGGTGGAACTAAAATTGTTAGTGGAAGATAAGTTCCAAATAAGGTGGAACTATAATTTATATTATATTATTGGTCAATAGGAAAAATATAAAGAATAAGATAATTTTTCTAATAAGAGTAGATATATAGCTATTTGCATCATCATTATCATCCATATAGTTGTCCTTAGTAATTACATGCATCATATGAGAAATACCTTGGTGGGACATGAAGAATCTCAAGTATATTTTCCAGTATATCTACTCTGCAGTCATGCACTCATTTAAATATAGTTCAAACAATTAATGTGAGGCTTGAACCTCTTCAGAACCCCCTTTAAAATTTATTTTAAGAACATTTTTAATCCTAGGATTTTCTTCATGTTTCCATCCTTTAATAACCTAAGAGAATTGCTAGCGTTAGAAGGGATAATGAATAAATTATAGTCTAATTAATAAAAGGTGTACCAAAACTAACTTTTCCAATAGATGCTAAAAGGGATCACATAATAGAGCTTACAAAGGGCTTTGAAATTGAGTTGATCTAAAGGCTTTGATGAAGGCTCTATTTAATTATGCTTTGAGACAGCCACAAGCAAAGATGCTTAGATGAGAGGAGCAATATTCAAATTCAAATATTTGCGAATACTCGTGAGGAAATGTCTCTCATTTTTTACATAGAAAAATAGATTCATCTAAAATATTTTTTTGGGCATATTTATTTAAAAGAAAAAAACACATCCAAATAATCACATTATAAGACATTAGATCAACCCTCTTATTTTATGATGATATTACTTTATAACTTACAAAAAACTCTAATAATATATTTAGAGTTACATAAAATATAATGGCAGAAGATTGCTGATGTTCTGTAAGTATTTGGTTGTAAGAAAAAAAATTTGATAGCTTAAACCCTAACAGTTATGAATTGAAGATGATGAATAAACCTGTGATGATATGCTAATAAGAACTGTCATTTGATGGCAAATAGTGGGCAAAAAAACAGTGGAGAGCAGTTAGGATTGTACTAACAACAAAGTGAAATGTCATACTCACATAAAGCTAGACCGATGCTGTTCTATGCAGAGGATCGAAAGTAACATCAATCTTCTCCATCATCTTTAAAACCTGTGTCCTCAATTACTAATCGGTCAAATTCCATCACAAATGCTGCCAAGGGCCTCATGAATCAGACCAGCTGTTACCTCATTTTCTGTGCAAATCACAGTTTTGGTCTCGTTTGTTTCAATCACAGCCTTCTCAGACACTCTGATGCGAACAGACTGAGTATGGTCATATGAACCGGCAACCTCATTCTCTATAGAGCAATCTATTCCCTTCTCTTTCAAAGCTACCAGCAGACTAGCAGCATCTACAGAACCCCATAAAAGTATTCTCAAACTGGGAAGATAGATTGGCTTCTTCGGAGAGACCAAGAGATATTTCCCTCTGCTTAGAACAAGCTTCCCTATTAGCCTAGCAATGGCCATTTCTTTCGAATATAATCTTCTGGGTTGTAACTGAAACACGAGGTCTGTTGCTAAACGTCCTTCGAAATTGTTTTGCAGACTCGGGACCCGTAGAGTTGAGTTTACAGAGTAAAATAAGAGTGAAAATGAGATGTTGGGTTGAGAGGTACAAAGTGGCCTTAAATCTTCCGGGAACTGTAATGGAATGAAAAAGGCCATTACGTATTGGAAGAGTTGGATTGGATCTCAGTAATAGAAGGAAGATGAAAGGTTGAATGAATGGATGATGCAAGCTGAGAATTACCAGAACAAGCTTTGGATGGAGGAAGCTTAGCAGAGGAAATATTTTGTGCTTCCTGCAAAGTAGGTATAAAATTTTAAGAGGCGTAAAGAACCAAAATATATTATTTATTTATTTATAAATATTAGAAATATAGGCCATTTATATACATACCACCTAAGTCTTATGTAATTACATATCGAACACCTATACTTTACCTTTTAGGTTTATACCACCCAATTTTTTCATAAAATACCACTATTTTAACTTTTACAAAGTAAAATACACATTTTTAATGCATAGGCAAGGTGATAGTTATGCAAAAAACTAAAGTTTAGGTGTTATATATGTAAATACATAAGAACTAAGTTGTATGTATGAAAATCTTACAAAAAGAATAAAGAAAAGTATTCTAGGTATGACATTTTTATTTGATGAAATTTGAAATTTGTGGAAAATATTAAACCTAGTTTAATTTAGACAAGTTGTTTTATAAATATTAAAAGTTTAATTTATAGTAAACAGTGTGAGCTGTGCGTGCACACACATTTTACTGCTATAATAAAAAGTGTAATAAATGGCTACGTTATATATATATATATATATATATAATGATATGTTTCACATTAATTAGAGAATTCAAGGGTTAATGATAATTTATATACGTGACATCTTTAGACTGGATAGTGATTTTACTTTTCCCCTAACATTGGCATAAGCAGTTTAAATTTTCCTACCAGATGCACTATTTTTTAATTTAATGGCAGTTAGCTTTAACTTTCTGTCAGGAGAAATGTTCTTGTACTAAAAAATTATATCAATGCGACTGTCAAGAGCTACTCGATGAACTCGTCCGGATCCATGTGACTATCAAGGTTCGATAAATATACTCTAAAATCCTAGCTTCTCCTTTAATACTCCATGCCAAGTCGTCAGAGTATTGTTTCTTCGTCACTGGAAAGTTTCCGATGGAAGGGACTCCCTTCCTCTGCTCGATTTATAGAGTCATTGTTATAGCTATGACTGACCTCATCAAATTGTTTCCTCTCAATGGCAACAAGCCTCTATTGCAGTTGAAGGATTACATGTCTTTCATAGGGACCACCTGAACACCCTGTTCGGGTTTCTCCTTGGGGCATGACGTCTTATTCTTCCAATGAAAGTATTGATGGAAAAAACAATTTTGAGGTTTACGATTACGATTAAGGGTTAGGGTTATAAGGGTTAGGGCAAGGGCTAAAGCAAGGTGGATGATGTGGGAAAAAATTTTAGGTGGTGTTAGGTCAGGTTGTATGTATTCTTGATTTAGGTGTAGGAAGGATAAATCTGTAAAAATTTAGGGTTTGTCGGGCTTGAAACAAGATGAAACCGTTCTAGAGTTCATTGATGTTGTTTAGGTAGCGGACCTTGCAGGGAGATGGTTAGAGAATAGCAAAGGAATGATAAAATAAGGTCAACGACATGTGAAATGGGTTAAGTGTCGTTCAGTGGTGGTTGCCCTAACTAAAAACTGCAAAGGGAACCACAAAACAACGGTATATAGACGGTGAGGAAAAATCACCACCTCTGCAAAAAGGAAAAGATACAACACTTCGAAGAGCACAAAACATAGAATAAAATCTCCAAAACACAAACACAATATCGAAAGTCTCTCCAATAGAAAAAAAACAACACATAACTAGGTTCTTAATAGAAAATACCCTACTTAGAAATAAAGAAAAAGAAGATGGGCCAGAAAAGACAACTCTAACTAAATTTGATAATCGGACTAGAAATTTCCGGTCGTACGTCAATTCAGAGAGAGACGGAATCCCACATTGCAGGGTCGAGTCTACGATTATGTGACAAGATTGAGATAAGAATTTCTAGGAAGCTTCTCTTAGTGGCTCCTTCATAGAGTTCCTATTGCTTCCACGTCGTTCGGACCTACACCTCCAATTGCCCACCATACTCATTCCTTTGCTAACATTGGTTATAGACTTTAATGATTTAAGAGCTTATTCCTCCACTTCAAAGAGCCATTTTCCTCTTTTTTTCTCATCAAGATCCAATAACACCACCTCATAAGCATCCATCCACCTGTCAAGGGGAACTTGCTTTCATTTTCACATAAGAGGTGTCAGAGCTCATTAGGACTCTTTACTTTTTTATAATTGCCAACTTCTTATTGGGCATCCTAAAATGGAGATTATCCAATGAGTTCATTGATGTTGTTTAGGTAGCGGACCTTGCACGGAGATGGTTGGAGAATAGCAAAGGAATGATAAAGCAAGGTCAACAACATGTGAAAGGGGTTAAGTATCGTTCAGTGGTGGTTGCCCTAACTAAAAACTGCAAAGGGAACCACAAAACAACGATATATAGACAGTGAGGAAAAATCACCACCTCTGCAAAAAGGAAAAGATACAAAACTTCAAAGAGCACAAAACATAGAATAAAATCTCCAAAACACAAACACAATATCGAAAGTCTCTCCAATAGAAAAAAAACAACACATAACTAGGTTCTTAATAGAAAATACCCTACTTAGAAATAAAGAAAAAGAAGATGGGCCAGAAAAGACAACTCTAACTAAATTTGATAATCGGACTAGAAATTTCCGGTCGTACGTCAATTCCGAGAGAGACGGAATCCCACATTGCAGGGTCGAGTCTACGATTATGTGACAAGATTGAGATAAGAATTTCTAGGAAGCTTCTCTTAGTGGCTCCTTCATAGAGTTCCTATTGCTTCCACGTCGTTCGGACCTACACCTCCAATTGCCCACCATACTCATTCCTTTGCTAACATTGGTTATAGACTTTAATGATTTAAGAGCTTATTCCTCCACTTCAAAGAGCCATTTTCCTCTTTTTTTCTCATCAAGATCCAATAACACCACCTCATAAGCATCCATCCACTTGTCAAGGGGAACTTGCTTTCATTTTCACATAAGAGGAGGTGTCAGAGCTCATTAGGACTCTTTATTTTTTTATAATTGCCAACTTCTAATTGGGCATCCTAAAATGGAGATTATCCAAAACTTTTTATCTTATTTACAATTGATTCGTGGCCACTCAATTGGGCTCACCTATTATTACTGAACTGCATTTATAAGTATGCTACACCACAAGGACTTTTTTCGACAAACCTACTATTTTGATCATTTTTCAACAGATATGATAGAATGACCGCACCATTTTGACCTTTCTAAGAAACCGCCTAGCACTATATATATAATTTGGAAAAAATAACATTTTAATTTTTTTTAAATAAAAGATCGAACTGATCTTATATAAACAATAGTTTAAATGATTGAGCTTAACACCGCAAGCAATATACCTACCCTGAATGATGGATACACTACTTACTGATGAAGCTCGATTAAATAAACTAAAAATTTTATGACATCCGTCTGGTCTGCGAACTTTTATGTTGACCGACAAATTCCCAAATCTAATACAAATAATTAGATAAGGTTTATATTACCTGAGTTCTTAAAGCTCCCTATAGAGGTAAGCCCCTATAATTAATTACATCTTAAATGATCGAAGTCACTTAAGAAAACTCTTAATTTAGATCAGAAAATATTGTCTTCAATGATTCAAAGGGATAGGATTTTTCAAAGATCGGACAAAGATGTGTGAAATGAGACGGGCTCAAATTTGGAACATTTATTATGGAATCCAAAAGAGGAGAAACTAGGGGATGTCACAGATTCTGTGGAGAACCTGAGTGACTTCTCAAGCTATCTTATAGTTTGGTTTCAATTTCAGTGAAAGAAATATTAAGTGTTTCATCCGGCTGATTATTATTATTTAGGGCTTATATTTGCGTGAGAAGATCGCACAAACAGCTTGGAAGATATGAGGATTTATGTCATAACGAACGACAACCTCGAATCCTAAAATGACTTAGGACGTAAATTGCACAACATGATTGTACAAAGATCTAAAGATAAAGTGAGGATTTATATTGCACTAAGCAGACGACCTCAAAGTCCTATGGCTTATTTATTTAATTCTACGGAAAGATGTGTTATTGTAGATCCTCAAGCTGTTGTAGATCGTTATTGTAGAAGGTTGTCCACAGAATCAGCTCTAAGCTCCTCGGCGAAGTAGCATTCCTAAAGTCTAAGGGTTTAAAGGTTTAATTGTCAAGTTTAAGTTCAATCATGGGAGGGGGTTAAAGTTGATTAGAGCGACACCGGTTTGGATCTCACGGTTCCCTCGTTCCGGTATCACTATTTTCTATTGAACTTAATAAGCTTAAACAAGTTGTTACACTTATTTAAACTAAGGAGATCTCGTTAGCAACCGCGGGTTACCCCATCCGAGGGACTCCCGTAAATTCAAAATGAAATTTTAAGTTTAATGATATTTCAAAAAATTTATGGCTACGTTTGAAAGAATTTGTTTTAGATTGTTTAAAATGTTGATTAATTTTTTTAAATTATTTCGATTTTCGCAAGTAAAGAAAGGTGCACAACCAAGAAATTATAATATTTGAAGCAAGAGTAAATTGAAGTAAATGACAAAAATCAAATAACACTATAAAAGTGTACCTGTCATCTTCTCGCTGCTCCCACTGAAACGTTAAAACTTGCAACAAGTATATAATTTTGCAAAAATTTAAATAAATCGCAAGAGTAGATGAAGGTGTAGTTTTCGAACCTTAAGTCATAACTTGGTGAGTGACTAAAGGTTTTAATCGATGATTTTCTTGTACAAAAATATAATAAGTTCAACATCCTTCAAAATGTCCAAGAGATCTTAAAATATTCGAGACACGACCCTGAACAACTTTAAATATACCTTGAAACGTTTCGAGTCCATTTTGAACTTATTATATTGTTCCATTAATCATCTCAAAGTTGAATTATCACATTACTCAATGAACCATGACATTTCAACTATCCCCGGAAACGAAGGAAGTTAGATAGTCACTTAACATTTCATTGGACAGTTATATGAATGAGTACCCCAAAGGGCAAGTCCAAAGTCATTAAGAATTTTAATGCCCAGAGTTAAAGTAGGGACTAAAATGTTTGAAAGTATTTATCAATCAATTATGTCTATCTTTTCTAATCCCAATTAA